ATATGTCTGTATATGTCTGTTTATGTATGTATATGTATGTATATGTATGTATATGTCTGTGTATGTATATGTATGTATATGTCTGTATATGTATGCATATGTATGTATATGTACGTATGTGTCTTGGATCGCTGCCTGGAGAAGCCAGAGTGCCGCCAGCAACGCCTTCGCGGCACTCCTGGTTTAGGTCTGGGCTTAGGGTTTAGGATTTCAATTTGGGTTTGAACGAGCTTGGTTAGGGTGTACAATGGTTGTAAAAGTGCCCTGGGTGTAGGCAGGGTTTAACGTTTGGGTTTGCGGCGTTGAGGTTTAGGATTTTCAGGTTTCTGGTTGGCAGCTCTAATGGAAGACAACAACAATAGACAACAATGCAGGGTTCGTTCAGGGGTCTCGTACTTTTGGGGGCAATTAAAGGGCATAACACTAAGCCTGTACCTAGGGTGAGACTAAAAAACGGAAGGTTCGGGGTATCTGATCGCTTGGGCTTTGCGGGCTCAACGTTTCAGGCTGCAGGATCTGACCAGGACATCGCAATCCCAAATTCGACCTACCAAAGCAGGAAGGACAACTCGTGTTTAAAGCCCACCTTGCAAGGCATTCCGAGTGGTGTCACATGACAAAGCAGAAACGGTATCTTACCTTGCGCCTAAGTTCGGTGGAACAGCTGAGTGGTTCGAAAGGAAGATCAACAGCATCCCAACATGAACGCGTAGATTTGCATTGGGTGATTCAGAAACAATAGCAGTCCCACAGATAGATCATGATAGATCCTCAGCGTTACGATCAGATCCTGATTGTAAGATCCCGAGATGTGAGGAATGCTGATGCGGGTGTAGGGATCACGCCGTATGCCTCAGACCTGACTCTGCTTTCAGGGTCTACCTGGACCACCCAACTACCCTCGACTCTATTCCTCTCTCAACGCCCACCATCAAGCATCTTCATAACTCTAAGGAAGGGTGCCACAGAAGCTGTCGTTGAGGACATCGAGGTCCAAAGCCTTAAAGCCTCAAACCCTCATGGGGGGCGTTAGGCCTTTAGGCTTTAACTGTCTAGGCTTTAGTACGGTCTCATGGCTCTCATTTTAGGCTTCGGGGTTTAGGGCTTGCTTTTGGGCTTTCCATCTCGTCCTGTACACCATACCCGCCAGAGGCATCCCATCTTCGGGTCGCAGAAAGGTCGGCTGCTTGCCGCGTGCGCTTAGAATTGTTCGGGGTTTAGGGTTCGAGCTATCGGCATCAGGGCTGTCGAGGTTGGCGCTTAGATGGCTTGGATGTTTGCGCCGTGCAGTCCTATTGTCTTACATGAGGGTCCAGAAAATCGCAGACCCACAGAGGACCCTGAAAGGACCCTGCGAACAAGCAGATGGCAGTATTGGGGGTGAAACGCTTCATCTCGGCTCTAGGGTGCAGGATAAGGCTCATGGTTTCGCATCTCGAGCTCTGGCTTCGGATTTGAAGGCCATAAGGATGCGGAGGCGACTCGACTCGTTAAGCCGTGGCCTCTACAGCCTCTAAGCCATCCGCTTTTGATCTGATAAGAGCTGCGGGCCGGATCCATCTGCAAAAGTGGAGGCCCAAAACACGAGGCCGTCTGAACTGTGATTGACTGTCAACAGTTGCCATAACATGTTCAAGTGCGGACTTATGTTGGATGTTGAATCAAACTGACATCTGCATCATGATTTGGTAACATCCGGATGAATGTGTGTGGGCTTCCTAAGCATCCTCAAAGCACATCGTAACCCAAAGCTGCGGACTCAAAACCGACTGCCTTCCAATTCAACGGATGCATTTTAAGAAAGTGTGTGCCCTGAATGACATTCGGACACTCGCCAGAACTCCAGACTGAATAAACTTCAGAACCTAAGTTGTCAACGCCTTCAAGCCTGAATGAAAGCCCTGTCCAGGTGGTCTTGCTGGGCTGACTGTATTCAACCTGAAAGCTTCATCTTCGTGGTCCTAATGGTACTGGCGCCGATGGAACGGAAGCCCGCAATCACAATAATAACGGCAACGAGCGCGTTCTGATAACTACAAGTTGAACGTTACGAATGCTGGAGCATGATGGCCCTATTCAGCACCATTTGGCTGGAACCCCGAACCACAGAGCCACATCTTTCCTCGTACCCACTTCCCCGAGGAGTCACCGTGGGCTTCGGGTGTGTTAGGGTCGGCATCGGGGGTCTCAAGTTCGGCTAAAGGTGGCTGCAGGCTTGTCGCTTCGGGCTTGAGCCCTAGCTCGGAACGCTAAATGCAAAAAACTAGAGACCTTGCCTAATTATCGGCTTCAGTTCGTTGCTGGGCTCTGAGATACTTAGGGTTAAATTGACTACGTCGTCGCTAAGAGTGAAACATGACTGGTCTGGTGAAACTCTCTGATGCCGTCCTATTCGCGCGGAGCTGTTCGCTGCGGGCGTCCGGATTTGGCAGCTTCTTGGCAATATTCACAACACGACCCTTCTCGTGGTATCGGGGCCTCCGACAAAGAGATGCCACTGAGAGTTTGAAATATGTGACCTTGACAAGCAAGCTCGGAAGGAACAAGTCTAGGTTTGAGAAACCCCTTTAATTAGGGTTTAGACGCTGCCTCTAACAGCAAATGGAGGGCTCTCTTTACAAGGAAAGAGCTTGTTAGAATGATGATAAACTTGAACACTTATTGTAAGGTTATTGAACACTTATTTCTGGGTTATTGAACACTTATTTCCGGGTTATTGAACACTTATTTCTGGGTTATTGAACACTTATTTCTGGGATATTGAACACTTAATTCTGGGATATTGAACACTTAATTCTGGGTTGTTGAACACTTATTTTGGGGGATATTGAACACTTATTTGGGCGATATTGAACACTTATTTCTGGGTTATTGAACACTTATTTTGGGGGATATTGAACACTTATTTTGGGCGATATTGAACACTTATTTCTGGGGATATTGAACATTAGTTCCGGGGCATTTGGAACACTTTCTTCTGTGGATGTTGAATAAAATAGTACTGAGCAGGTGTTACCTGGGGGGGGGTCGGGTGAACAAATGAACACTGAACGAGTGCTTTGGACCCTGCTTGCTTTAGAGATTGAGACAGCTTTTGCACATCATAGCCGATATCGGCTTTCAGTCGGCATGGATTTTAGCGAGTTGTTCTCGGATGGCGAAGCGTCGCCTGAGCATGGTTCGAATGGGGTCGAGCCTGCTCAGCATCTGTCATCTGAAGATCCAACTGTAGCTGAGAATTCTGCCGACTTCAACACTGCACCTGATCCTGGCGAATCATCTGGGTTTGATCTGCTAGATTTGGTGGCGGGTACTTCTGTCGCCGTGCCAAATGATGATCATCAGTTTGCAGCTTTGCTTCCGGATGCACAAGAATCTGCTATCGTGCCTCATGCGGCTGGCGCTACTGCTACTTCTTCTTCCAAGAGTCAGAAGCTCGGCTACTCATTGGTCGGTAAAGTAGGCAAAGGTCGGCATGGTGGACCTCTGGAGCAACAGCTGGTCTGTGCCCACATGAGGGCCGAAAAACGTGCCAAACGACAGAGGGAAGAGACAGATTTTGTTCTGGAGGCTTTGAATGGTTGTGAATTTAGCAAAGGAGGCGACAAATTCAACATTGCAGCTCGCCAAGGACGAAAAGGCGGCATACAAATCATTATGCACAAGAAATCGGGGAAAGGCAACAGGTTTGTTCGAAGGATTCACTTTTCGAAGTTTCTCAGGGCTGCATATGGAATGAATTCGTGTAACATTGCCCTGGCCGCCGCTCTTGATGTAGATTCAACAACAATTCCTCGGCTGCAGAAGACTGTTTCAGGGGTATTCATGATGTCCCAAGCCCGCTTATTGGCCAGGCTTTACAAGTACTGCACAACAACCCCCCCTGCTACAGTCCACACCCATCTGAAATGGGATGAGACGACGGTGGCAACGACTTTGCGACCAGGTGGAACATCGGAGAGTGTTAAGTCAGCTTGGAGTGTCTTGGTCGTGCGATGCCGATTAATGGTTTCTTGGACATCAGGTGCTTCGTTCTTGATGCGGGTCGTGATGCCTGTAGTGCCCCTCATGGCAAGCTCGGCTGATCAAGTGTAATATGCATTGAAGCATCACCCCAGCTATTATGCAATTTCTGAGATGGTGAGGATGATTTCTGGTACAGCCTCTAAGCGATGTGCTCTTCACGAAGTGGATGGTGCATATTCCAACCTCAGATTGCACCACCACTACCTTGGACAGCCATCCTTTGATCCCTCACTTGCAGATGGAAGTTTCTTGGAATCAGCCCGCTGCCAGAGCCATGCAACCCACTTGATTTCCGTTTCCATGTTGAGTCTTCTTGGGGCGAGCTTGCTCAGTAAACTCTACGGCTTGGCTGTTTTCTTGAGAAATCTGGGATACCTGTTGCGATTGCAGCTGGCGGTTCGGAACTGGATCGAGGACACAGGGTCTTAACACAAACCACCAAATCCCAAACCCTAAGCGCCGAAAGCTTACACTTATTTATCGCCGAACAATCCAATCCCGAATGGTGACCGAACTTAGAATAAAAAAACTTGAGCCCTGGACCCCAACCCTTCAGCAGTAAGCTTGAGCCGACTTGAGTGACTTGGGTTTCGGGTTGCTTGGTTTTGGGCTTCTAGTCTTAGCTAGTTTCGGGATTCAGATTCAGAATGATGTAGATTGCCAATTTTCGGATTATGGGTTATAAGTTATAGTGTTATAGTTATTAAATTATGATTCAGAGGAATTGGAAAAAATCGGGTTATGTACCTAGAATAGACGGTGTAGACTATATAGACTATATAAGTATAGCTTGAGATCCGAATATTTGGAATTCGGTTTCTTATCCCAATATTCCCAGAGGCCAAATTGCTGTGGGTGCCCAACGATGCGGGTCTGGAGGAACCCGATCCATTGATGCAGGAAACATTAGATTTTCTCCGGGTGTGGCATTATGGGAAAGATTCTGCTGAAGATTCGCGAGGTGATGATGCCGAGGGCAACAAGCGACGGAGCATGTTTGATAGGAACCTAGAAGCCTTCAGAGACATGTGGAACGGATCGTACACGGGGCAGCCCATGCATCGATGTGCTGATGGGCATTGTTCTTCAAGGGCGGATGCTTGCACTAAGATGGCTTCGACTTTCATCTCTCTTTTGATGCTAACACTGCCTGCCATCCCTGCACCAAACAAGTGGACAAAGCTCTTTCCAGCCTCTGACTTTGTTGGAGTGGGACTACTGATCAACAATTACTTGCCTGCGATCTTTGAACTTGCATTCCAACCTGTGATGTTTAAGACAGATTCGCCCGAGGCCCAGGGTCAAGACACGGATCCAAGGCTTCTAGAAGGATTGTATTTTCATGCAGTCCAAGGGAAACGATATCTGGCTTCGAGGTTGTTTTTGACATCATATGCTTCCCAATGGGCTTGCAAATGTTGGCTTCTGATTTCAGAGCATCTTCGTCGCTTGGTCTTTCATTGGCTGCACAATCTGTCAACTTCCAAGAAGCCTCGGGATCGCTATCCAATTCTTGAGCTGCTGGATGTTCGTACTAGTGTAGCTTGGGCGGTTCTACAATGCATCGCACATCAGTTGATGGATCCCCTTGGCAGACACCGTATATCCATGATCTGGAGATCTTCAAATTGTAGCTCATATGAAGCATGGTGCAGGGCATCACCCCAAGAGGTACGGGAGCTGAGGCGAGCCCTGCTTTCTTTGGCTGCTTGGATATATCGTCGCCATGTCTTTTACTGGCAACAGTGGCCCTGGCCTTTGCTTCAGCTGATCGATTTGTCGGCAGACAGAGAAATCATTGAGGAAGTGAAGCTTCAGTGGGATGGCTTGCAAGTTTGCTGTGCTAGTCCAGGCTTAGCCCGACAGTTGAAACAACAAGGTGTTTCATCTGATGCTTTGCACAATGATGAGACATGGCGTTCTGTTCTTCGTGGTTATGCAGCACTACTAGATATGAGCATTGCAGATGTAGAGACGAAGCATGCCCTGAGTCGCCATTGGTCAGAGAGGCCGTTTGCAACAATCGTTGCGAAACACGTGAATCGTGAGGCCCTCGTGCCTTGGATATGTATTATTTATTAGGCTGTGGGCCACGGGCTTATGGGCTGTTGGCCACTGGGTTTTGTGATCTTGCTACTGAAGGCTTGGTATTGCACGAGCAACAGATAGGGTTGAATAGTCTAGTTAGGTCTGGTAGTTGGGAGTCCTTGTTAGGCTTAGTTCTAGATTTGTGTGGATGTTTTGGAGAAGTATTTTCCTGATTCGGGCTGCAGTTTATTTTGGGCTTCTTATTATCAAATTATGAATTGGCTTTGTGTATATTTATAATTTATAAGTTATAAGTCTTATATTTATATTTGTGTTAGTCGATATTCGTTCTCGTGTTATGAGTGTTTTGCGGCGCTTTTCGGTGAAAGACCTAGAGACTGAAAGGGACATGAATTCATAATATGAACTTCAACATCTCGGTAAGGATCCACGGTTTTCATTGATTTCGCTTCTACGACTGCTAGTATAATAAGAAAAACAGAGAATACGGCATCAGACGATGTGTTGCCTGTGCCATTGAAATGAAACTCTCCCATGAAATCAAAACTACAGGTGTCAGTGCAGGAAGCTCGCAGCCAAGCCGATGCGATCCGGGAGATGGTGCATGGCACACAAGCTGTTGTGAGTGCGACAGCAGTGCATTGCAAGAAGAACAAGACAGCTGTAGCCTTCAAAGAGCCACAGATTCGGGGTAAATCTGCTCTGTTGTGTTTCCGTGATGATTTTCTGGAGAATCAGCGGCAGATCTTGGCGGGCTCAGTCGTGAATCCCTGCTCCAAAGAATTCTGGGCGGAGCTGAAGCAAGCTTGGGCAGACATGCCAAGGGCCAAACAGGCTTACTACGAGGAGCTGTCCTCGCAGTCGTTGCAGAAAGCGGCTCTGGATCGGAATGCGAAGAAACAAAAGCAGGCTGAAACTGTCACTTGCACCGAGGTGTCACTTCCAGCTACGGCCCAGGTGGAATCGAGCGGTGCCATGTTGCCTCCAGTAACCTTGCCTGTTCATGTAACTCAGCAGCTGGCTAATGCAGTGCCTTACAATCCGTGGACTTTGGCAGCTGCAGCTGCCGGCTGTGCAAGCATTACAGAGGTTGCCGATGGCATCAGAAAGTACTTGCTGAATCCGAGGTCTTCGAGTGATCTGAATCTGCAAGACGAGTTTCTCAGTTCTTGCCCCGTTGCAGAAGATCAGCTGCAGAGCAATTGGCAGTTTAATGTGCAGAATGGAGTGACATGGGCTCAGGCACTCAATCATTTCAACATTCAAGCACAACGGTTCAGTATCCCACCATCAGATGACAAGTTTCCTGATCGTGTGACGTACCAAAGCTGCTGTGGCTGCTTTTGCCGCACGAATGCTTCGCCTCAGGGTCTGTTCTTGTTTAGTAAGCTCTTAGGCAGTTTTGAGGATGTTATCAAGCAGTGTGGAAATGGATCCGCACCATCAGCAGCTAGCTGTGACATCCTGTTGCGATTCAGTTTCTTTGCCGAAGACGATGAATTGCCGAGACAGGACATGTATGCTTGGATGACGGCCATGACAGCACGGAGTGGTCCCCACAACTGCACTCAGAACTTCATACTGATGTCGGTAGCACTGGATTCGTCACCCGATTGCTTGAAGTTGAGACTACATTCGCAGGCGGCAATTGGACAGCAGGTGAAGTGGTGTTCCAATCTGTTGCAATCTGGTCCATTGTGTCATTTCAGTGAGCAGGAATTTGCGAAACGTCTTCTGGAAATTTTCCACGAGTGTCGTGCATCTGCCGTCGTTATCACTCGACTTGCCTTCCAGGACTTTTTATACTTGTCAAGGATCATGCTTCATCATTCGAATCATTCAGCATCGAGGGCAGTTGGGATTCATGGGAAGATCGTTTGGGCTTTAGGGTTCAAGGGGGTGGTATAGCTTTCAAGCAGGTAGATTTGTGTACGGTTATAAGTTATAAGTTATAAGTTATCGTTGAGGGCAATTGGGATTCATGGGGAGATGGTTTAATTTATGGTCTAGGGGCTTTGAGTTTAGGGTTTGATAGATTTTGGCTCTTCTTTTCAAGGACCTAGATTTGTGCACGGTCGTCGTCGAGGGCAGTTGGGATTCCTGGGAAGATTTGACGGTGCGATTCGCTGGTCAGCAGGCGGCCGGCGAGGAAGATGAGCAAGCAATTGATGTGCCACAAGCTGTGGCTGATGATGGGCTCCCCGAAAGCGCCGATCAGCCTGATCAGGGAAATCACTTCGACCTGCTAGCAGAAATTTCGGAGGGTGGTGGAGTTCAGAAGCGGGGTAAAGGAAAGGGTAGGGGCCGGGGTCGTGGAACTTCCTCAGAGTTGCGACGTGGATTGGTTGCAGCCTTGCCTTTTGATCCAACAATTCAGCAGGAATTACAACGTGAGTTTCAGCAGTTTCTTGCAGATGAGCATGTGCAGCCGGACATTGTGCTTCCTGACAGACCTGGTTGTTCAGACATTGAGAGAACTTTGAGAGACCCCGCCATTGCTGCATCGCTGGATGCAGAGACTACCGAGTCCGTTCTGGAGGCTGTGGCAACTTGCAGGCAAGCGAATCCTGATTTAGAGGCTTGCTTTGCAGAGTCTGATGATGGCGAAATCGTCGAGGATACGGTGGATCCAGGGCAGGAGCCGCCTGATCCTCCTGAAGCTGGGGGTATTGGCAGTGTTGGGCTTTCTGATGATGAAGCTGTTGATGCTGGGGCTGCTGATGATGGTTCTGTGCCTTGCTTTTGGATCATCATATCAAATGTTTTGTCGGTGTTCAGGTTATGATTTATAATTATAATTTATAATGTATAATTACCACAGTGACAATAGGCTGACAATAGGCTATAGTCTATAGTCCTTAATAGGTAGTAGGAGGGATATCGGGATATTTATTTCCGTGGTTGTTTTCAGAAAAAAAAAATGGATGCAAGCAGTATGTCAGTATGTCATCAGGACTGTTGTTATATCAGCTGCATCGTATTCCTGTGCAACTGTGATTTCCACTTATAACATGATTCATAACTCTATGTCTTAGCTTATGTTGGTCTTATGTATGATTCGATCACTCTATGTCATATGTCACATGTCATATGTCCTTTGACTCCTGTGACGATTCATGAGTCAGTGATTGAGGCTCATGTCGAGTCAACGAAGCAACTCAATACTCAGATTACATAATATATTAATGAAGCAACCTAGCAACCATCCCGATCATTCTAACATTACTTCCTGGATTCGTGGCTAGACCTTATCCCAACAGTTGGGGGTTCGAGGTGGCCGTGGCGACTACGGCAGATTCCCGGGCATCCTCGGCGATGCCGCCTGCAGCCACCTCTTCTGGGTCTTCGGTTGCACGTGCAGCTGGTGCACAGCTTTCAGAGATCACTTTGGGCACTAGTGATGCAGGATTTCCTTTGAAGCTTCTTGAAAGCAAACATGACACTGTTCGTTTCGAAATATGGGAAGCTCGACTGAAGCAGTCTGTTGTTTGGGGCCAGATTCGTTTGATGGCATTTGCCAATCGGCGCACGTACAAGGCCACTTGCAAGATTCACAAGAATTGTCATTGTGTCATTAATTGTTTAGAGCATGAGCGGCTCGTGGAGTGGTTAGCCGTGGCTGGCAACAAGTCAGCAGAAGAGCACGAAGTCCTCAGTCGTGAGGTACGAACTTCACTGGGGATGAAAATTAGGAAGAAATCCTGATGTGGGCTGCCAGCTGCTTCGCACTAGGTCTCAGGAGCATAGCATGAGACGGTTTTGAACACTTTCCATTTTACTACCCAAGCCAATATAACTTGGTTTAGGGTTAGGGATAGGGTTTAAGGTTTAGGGCTTAGGGCTTAGGGTTTAGGGTTTAGGATGTAATTTAATTTAATAGTGTCAACGAAAACAAGAACTGCCAAATTTCCTCACGAAGTTATATATATGTTTATAGAGTTATATGTCTATCCTAGGCAGTCGTCGAGGCCTAGGCCAGTCGCGAATATCAGCTGTTCAAGCAGCAATCAAAGATAGGAGCATAATCCTCGATGGGGCTGTTCCTTTGTAAGGGTTTGTCTGTGTTACTGTGTTAGATTCAGCAGAACCTGGTTGGCTTGAGATTCCACGAACTGTGGTTGGGCGGTTGTGCGGTTTCGAGTTTCGGGTCTTGCGAGTAGTAGGTGATTTCAGATGTTTCGGGTGAGACTTTCAGGTCCTTTCAGGTGTTTCAGAGTGCAGCCAGCGAAGCCTGCGAGCCCTCGTGAATCGTAACTAGCAGCTCTGCTTCATGTCGCCATGCATGGGTGATGAGATGGCTGATGCGATGTCTCAGCATTACAATATTGGCAGTATTGGTGACTGATAGCCACTGATAGCCACTGCATGATGCTGCTAAATGTCGCTTGTTGCTAGATGGGGGAGGGTGAGGCTAGATGTTGTCAATATCAAAAAATCAATATCAGTAGCATTCACAATCCATACATAAATTGCACCATCTGAATGGGCTTAGAGCCGCTTAAAGTAAGCAAATAGTTGCCATGTGGATCGTGGAGTGAGAGAACAGTACTATTGGCTTATCCTATGTATTACATCTACTGCTGCTGCTGCTGCTGCTACTTCGGCTACTGGTACGACTGCTCATGCTACTTCTACTATGTCTGCTGCTACTATTTACGAACTTACGACTATTATTATTATTAGTATTTAGTCTTTGTATTATTACTACTACTGCTACTACTACGACTCCTAGTGCCTCTGCCGCTGCTACTAGTGCTGCCACGGGCAGCAATGCTTAGAATATTAGTAATATTAGTGTCGCCTCTCCGTTGCAAGGAAGGATCAGGAGTAAGAAGTCATTACTTATGTTATGTTACATACATCGTAAGGTCCTATATCTGTCAAAGGATTCAGCGGATAGCTGGGCAGCCCAGCTCCAGCATGGAACTGGCTTGCAGTGCAGTTGAAAGAGCATTCGGATGATTAAGTCATTCCTGTTCGTGCACCCCCAAGATTAATGATGTAGATTTCTCGGGGCAATTTACAATATTCCCGGTGCATTCTTATCTGGTTCATAGACTCTATATTCATTATACCCTAGGGAGATCTGGCAGTATCTCAGAGGTGCATGAACATGGATGTCTTGGCGAGTGCTTCAAGTCCTTTTCATGGTAGACCCAGGAAAGAACACTTCAACAATTTTATCTTTAGACTATGGAAACGCAACAATGACAGTGACAGAGGCATTGGTCGATTCATGTGAGTCATTATCATCAATGATCAGTTATCATTTTATCATTATAAACATGGATGCTATTACGTGAAACTTTGCTATCGATTGCTCACGGCTTGTACTGATATATGATATATGATACGATAGATGATGTATGATATGATACATGATATATATATATATAATTATATAATCATATGTACATTACTGTATATTATATGATATATTATATAATATATCATATATCCTGTTTCATATAACATATATCATATATCATGAATCATGAATCATATATAATATATATATATAAATATATATATATATATATATATTATATCATATATCATATATCATATATCATATATCATATATCATAGTTCATGTATCATATACCATATATCATTATATCATATAGCATACACCATATATCATATATCATATATCTATAGTCTACAGTCTATACAGTTTATATTTTCTATCACTTCTTGTGCCATTGAAGATTTGTAGGTTTGTGGAAATTCAGCATATAACAAAGGTATAGGATTTAAGCCATGATTGAGCTTATTTTTCGTTGTCGTTCGGCTCCTTCCGAGCCAGGCCCGGCTTCGTAGTTGATGAGTTACCAGACCAACAGCTACTTCGTCCACCAAAATTGACAGCTGACGGGCCCGGTGAATCGTCCAGCTACGACTCCAGCCCGGCCTCGTTGTAGTCGTGGCTCGATAGTCACCTGGGGCCTTTAACCGTGTAGCTACGACCCCA